CACGGTTGCTGTAAAGCAGCCAATACCTAATATTTTGCGTTTAAGACCGTGTTTTATTTAAATATGTACTACTCGCGTAAACTCCAGACAGTATTTAATAATTATTATAAAGAAATAAAAATATGTTATGTTATCAAAAACTTCAAGGGAGAATTCATTAGAGATATAGAGAAAAATCAAGCAAATATTCGACATTTGACTAACAATTGAACAATGTTTAGGTTCAGATATTTTAAAGGGTTTCGTTGTTTTTTCACCTAAGCTATATGCACCAATTTGTGATGACAAAACTTTGAGGACCACTTTTTAACTACAACGGCCTTTTGTCTCGAAAACTTAAAATTAACATTAATTTATGGTGCTTCTGTGGAAGATCAATCCTCACTTACCTTCTTCCCCCATAATTAGTTAAGTTGCAATATCTAGTATCCCTAGTTCCGTGTGTACAGAATCGAATTTAACGAGTGGCGCCACACTTTGCAATTTAAATGTCGCCCCACGTCGGGCACACGGCTTCCAATGAATTTAGTGTTTATCAGTTTTTACTCGCGAGCTTCTCATAATACAAATGTCTGCACCATGCACTTCTATATGCCTCTACATCTATAGCTATCGAATCTTACTTCAGTATGTTTGCATTGCGATTCAATGCGATTGTTTGGGGTTTTCGTTCTTGTTTTGAGGTTCTGTTTTCGGAGACACAGTAATATTTAAAATTAATTCAGCGTTTGAAATCTTTAAACTTTTAATTGTGATCTATTTAAAATTTTATACAAAAACTTTGGAAAAAATCTTATATTACATTACTGTTGGGAATTATAATATAATAATATATTATACCTTATGCTCGGTATTTAGTCTGTGAGTTAATCCGCAATTTAGTCTATAGAAAAGCATAATGACGTATACGTCTCCGCATCTGTGGTACATATGTAACGTAAGTCAAAGTCAAGCAACGAAATTTAAAAGTTTTGTGTGAACACTCGGTATATATCACAATAAGATTAACGATGTAATGATGCGTATATTAATTAGTAATTACGGTTTGATCATCATTTTAAAAGTGTTGAATGCGGGTAGATCTCAGCTCTCCTATCTGCGCCTACCGTTGTTCTTGACTGCTACTAAAGGTGCTAGGCTAGTGAGTTGTGAACGGTCGCATAAGCTGACTACGTGCCTTTGAAACATTATAATCTTATAACGATTACAATAATCTTAATACATATATTAGTGTCCGTGACAACAGCTACAAGTACCGTGTAAAAGCTGAAGGACTGAAGCGATTTCTGGGAGGCAAGGTAAGTGCTGTATTTGGTTGTATTCAGTTTGTCGGTGTTGGTACTCATCCTATAATTTAAAAATCAATGGCCAAATTTGTATAGATACTAGACCTGACAAAACATTTTCGCCACCAATAACAAATTATAGAGTTTGAGTTACTTTGATGTCTTAAATACCACCCTGTTCGAAAACATTATTTGAAAAGCGAACATAATTTAATATCGCCAAAAAATACTTTTATCAATAAATAAGTTTAATTATTAATATTAACTAGCTTTTCGTTGAGTATATAAATAGTAAAAAGTAATAGTAAGTTTATGGGAGGGTAAATTAAAGAAGTGTATACTTACATATCAAATGAAAGGCAATTACAATTGCCTAAATGTCAAACGATAGCGCGTAGATTACAAATCGTTCGTTTGTTACACGTACATGATCAAAATATGTGTACTTTCTCTTTACATATAAAAAGCAATCAATATATATAAATAACTAGCGCCCCGTCCCGGCTTCGCACGGGTCGCATGAATGGGCACAGATATTTAATTTATAAGAATGCTAATAAAACGACCATGAATCACTAAATTATAAAATTGTATTGCGAGTCCTAGCTGTTGTCTGACCTAACGACCGTTTTCTATCTCGCTGTGGCAGGAGCCGCTGCGAGATAGACAGTGCTAGAGTCCCGTGCACGCATTTGCGAATTTCTATCTCTATTCTCTATTTCCTTCAAGTCGCTGCGAGCGCTCGGCGCTTGTCTATCATTCGTATAGCTGCGACGATCTTGCAGAAAGATCGTCGCTAGATAGTGTGGCTCGCGACTAAGACGCGTACACTCTAATACTTTCCAGACGATCATTACATATTTTATTTATTATTAATACAGAAATACAAAATAACTCTTTATAATATTAGTATATATTGTATATTAATGAAATCTAACGATGAATTCGATATGCGAACTCTAATGATACTTCTGAGCAAACAGTTTAAAAAATATCATATTTAGAAGAAAAATCATATCTTTTTATCCTAGCTTTCTTATAAGTTATTATTAATATTTTACAACACGAAAAATCAACTTTTTTTTATTTAACATGCATTCGTTATCAGGTACGATTTGGCCTTTTACTTTTATATACAGGCCATGAAGATCAAACAATTAGTAACAAATACTAACAAAAAATTTCATTCGCTAGACCTTTTTCACTCTAAGTTCGGAATCACCTTGATCGTGCTCTTTAGCCCTTCTTGTAAATAAGTATGTAAGTGACAAGCGAAATGTTATTATTAGCTTGTTACTTTAATAGTTTGCTTAGTTGTTTGTTTGAACTTATAAATAGGAAATAACAAAGAGCCATATAAAGAAATACAAGTATAGGAATGATAAAGGCAACACTTTTGGAAAGAAGTATATTTGGCTTACGGTTGGTCTTTTCACGAGCTCTGCGATGTAATGTATGGTAGGTGTATGTATATGTATATATGTAGGTATGGTATGTATATGTGTAGGTGTGTAGCACTGTACGGCTAATAATCAAGGGGTCTTGGGTTCGATCCCCACCGGGTTCATCATATCGCTATACAATTTTTTTTTAAACATGTTGAACTTCGAATGGAAATCAGTTTATTACATGTGATATGAAAATTCCGTCCGAGCCATGGTACATGGATAAAAGGGTGTGAAGTTTAATCGCGTTTCAGTCTGTGAATTTCCGAAAATCTAGAGCAGAAATCGATCAACAGCGCACCTTGTTAGAAGTTATATGGCTGGGGTATATCGCCTTCCCTCAAGGGAACGTCGCGTCAGTCTTCATCATAAAAACTCTAATTAAGTTTACTAATTAACAAATATTTTGCGTTTAATCATATAATAGATACTTAGAAACGTGTAGGACCTAATGAGAAAAAGCTACAGTCCGTTAATTATTAGTGGACCAATATTGATAATTTTTGAACGCTTATAACTTGGACCACAATTGCGTATGTGTAATTAGCCGTGCGTTCTACCCTCTGGGAGGCAGTGCCAACAATGCTTTTAGCAAACCTCACTCTATTCGTCCTAACTGCTGTTCTACTTGTTAAGCCCTTGTTTACTTTTACGTTAATGTAATAACTGCTATAAATAAACCATATTTATAAAAGATAAACTTTTTAAAAGTTGTAATTTTAATTATAATTTATTGAAAATAAATTATAGTTTAAACTGACTGCTTAAAAATATTCTATTAATCAAAAATGTTTATCTTATGATATCATTATCTCTGAGTTATAAAGTCTGTCGGGTCCTGACGTGTGGAAATAAACAAAAGTTTCAGTTCTGGGTCTTTTGCTTCCGATCCAGAATTGTAACAGAAGTGTGTGTTTTAACTTCTGCCCGACGTTTCGGATGCTTTGCAGCAGCCGTGGTCACGGAGAAACTAAAGATGGAGGATGTCTCTGAAGTCAAAGTAAAAAATTGCTACGCTAGCGCCATCTGTTCCGTCGAAGTTGGTATTTGGCAAAACTGGCCGGGTCCTTGCAGAATTGACTAACGGCCCGACTAAAGGACCCAGCCAGTTTCGCCAAATAACACACTTACAAGGTTTAAAAATCATTTTCAAATAAGTTTAACTAATATATCGCGTTTTAAACCGTTAAAGTGTTTTATTTAAATGTGTACTACTCGCGTCATACTATAGACAGTATTTAACATATAAAAGTGATTTGTGCATCAATAATATCTATATCTATACTAAAATATAAAGTGAAGTGTTTGTGTCACGAACTACAGGTTCGAATTGATTTTGTGTAGAGCATTTTCGGAAAGGCTATAAAATAGGCTGGGACTAATATGAGCGAAGAAACTGGGGTTAATGTCGAAAAAATTAGGGAAATTATTCATCCTTGTGGGTTTCCATTGCGCACGCTGCGAAAACGGTTCACGGTATGAACACTCACCGAATCTGAGGTTTTACCCCCGGCGGCCCCCCGACGACGTGGGTAACAGCTCAGATTTATGGAGTTGAACAGGGGGTTTGAAAAAACAAAAATTGATATCCAAAATAAATATTCTACGCGTACGAAGTCGCTGACTTACTTACTTTGAAATAAAAGACACAACCATACAATTGGTAATTTGCATTTATTTTACAGATTGACTAGTTAACACCAACAAGAATTTAGTTATATCGTTTGTAATTACTAAACAGTTTGAGCTACTTTTTAATACAATTTGCGACATAAACGAAACTAAAATATTTAACACATATTTATATAGAATTCATATAACAGGGACGCAGTAATAAAAACAGTATGATAAAGACAGAATATTAGCTACTGTAGCATCTAAAATAAGTATTAAACATTTTTTAATAATAAATATGACTAGAAAATCTATTTGGATACGTTTTTGCGTTTTTAGTTTTAGCCCAAAATTGCTCCATCAGTTGTTATAAGTGCTAGTATGTACATACCTTTTTGTGGTCAAAGTGTATACATACTCTTATCCGGTTGAAACCAGTTCGGTTACTACATACGCAAAAACATTACTAAGCTTTTCTCCAATGGTTAAAGAATACAGGTACATTTCGCACGGCTAATTATAAGTTAGAGGTGGCACATTTACTTATCTATATGTTACAAATATTCAATTGCATCCCAGCCTTACAATTGACATTAATAATGTTTAATACTAGAGTATTAATTAAATAAAAGCTGTAAAGTCAGTCGAGGTTTTCTTACTGGTTCTGTGAGGCGACTCGCTGAAAATAATAAACAAATTAAAATATTGCTCAAATTAAAACTATTTCATACATTATACAGGTTTTTAGTAAGACTCTATGTTTACACGGCAACGTTAAAATATAAATCTGTCGAATACTGTCTATAGTTTACGCGAGTAGTACACATTTAAATAAAACACTTTAACGGTTTGAAACGCGATATATTAGTTAAACTTATTTGAATATGATTTTTAACTTCGGCCCGACGTTTCGGATGCTTTGCAGTAGCCGTGGTTAAACCGTTAAAGTGTTTTATTTAAATTGGAGTCTCCCCGTGACCACGGCTGCTGCAAAGCATCCGAAACGTCGGGCCGAAGTTAAAAATCATTTTCAAATAAGTTTAACTAATATATCGCGTTTTAAACCGTTAAAGTGTTTTATTTAAATATAAATCTGTCGGTTCATAAGTGTTATTACTACTATTATAAAAAAAATACATTTCGTTTCATACCATAATCTGCCACAGTTTCATCTTTGAAAGTATATCGTCGTCGAGCATGGGTTTGGCTTCTGGCAATTTTGACGCGAAATCGACTGCTCCTTCTTCACTTTCTCGCCTGTAAAAGAGGACATTAAATAAATGATATTTGAGTCATAATCACAAACTATTATAGCCAAGTTTACTTGAACAATATTGAAGAAGTTACTTAATATAGGAAATAAAAAACACAGTGCACAGAATTTAAACCCAAAACCTCTTACTTTTAACGCTGAGTAATGTCATTTAATAAAATTACAAATGATATTGTAGCGCCATCTATTTACATGTAGAAAAAGAAAATAAACAAGTAGAGCGCCATCTCTACGTAACAAATTAAACTATAAGCGCTTACTCAAGTCTGTGGACGTCAGCAGGCGTATCGTCGACAACCACCCGAAAGATGTCGTCCGAATCGTCTTTCTTTGTTTCAAAGTGTTTGCCTTGATTCTGAAACGTTAAATTTCATTTAAACTCACGGCAGCCGAGATATATTCAAGCTGCTATATATTTGTATATAAGGCAGAGTAATAAAGAATAATTTGAGACTACATATGGACAAGCATACACCCAATACTCTGTGGGGCAGCTATCACCCCTGGAAACAGAACTTAGATTGTTTTATTTATAACTTGTCCATCACATCAAAAAGTTTCGGTTCGCAAAGCCCAGTAGCTGAACGCTCTTGTGTGTGATCTTGTAAAAAATAGATGTGTAAAACGTACCAAGTCATTGTTAGCGGCTATTTGTCGGAGCATTTTTGTGATGAACCAATCCGGAGCGGACGCTGGTGGTTTTCCGGATCGTTTGCCATGTGCTGAAGAAAACAATTTAATAATAAGTGTAATTACTCAAATACAATCAAAAAGATTTCTGTATTGTGGTATTTTATCTCGGTAGTCGTAAATGAGCTATTTACGAAGTAGTCTAGTAGTAGTATTTTGTAGTCGTTTCCGTTGTTTTTTTATAACTCAGACTAAAAGTTTGTAAGCTCCTTATGCCAGGAACTATCGATTATACGTCATCCTATTCACAACATATATATGCATCTATATACCTACACCTAATATAAAAAATTCTAATTGCAACAATTATTACATTGTTGATAAAAGAGGGATTAATCCTTACTAATAATATTATAAATGCGAAAGTAACTCTGTTTGTCTGTCTGTTACTCTTTCACGCCAAAACTATGGAACGGATTTGAATGAAGCTTAGTACACAGATGGTCTAGACCCTGAGAAAGGCTTATTGCAAGAAGGGGGTTAAAAGGGGGGTGGTGGTGAAAGCTTGTATGGAAGTTCGAGCTGAGTCGTTGAATAAATGGACAAATTATAAATATGTTATCACTAAACCATGTTAGGTTCGTTATTTACCTATTACATTCTTATTATGAGAAAGAAATTTAAAGTAAAATCTTTTGAATTTGCATAACATTTATAACAAAATGGTATTCTAACCTTCTAAGCGGTGGAGACACTAAAATCAGTCAATATATATTATTTCCAGTTTGTATACTACGTTTAAAAAAAAACATTAAAACTAATTAACCTGCTAGGTAGTAATAGGATTAAGGCTGTTTTTAATTACGCGTCATATTAATATTCATGACACATTTTAGCGGGAAACGTTTAAGTCACTGATGAGTTCAAATCTCCGCCATTTTGTTTTTAATACGAAAAAATTATTTTGCTGTTGCCATTTTTTATATTAAATTATGTGTGTTAAAGATGGCAAAAAATTAGAAAAGTTTAAATCGAAAGTTGATTTTCAATTATGTTTTTTATATATGGAGGAATTAAAACTAAAAATAAATATATTTTATTTTTCTATCGATTTTTTGAAAAGTTTACGTACTTATTAAGGGGGTAAATTAGTGTCTAACACTTTTCCTTTACCTCTAGAACTTCACTACACAAACCTTTCTTGGGATTGTTTTATATTTATAAGATAGTATACATAAATTCATAAGAAACGCCTTTTGAGAAAAAATAGGGTACTAGTCTTTGTTTTCCATTAACGGAACGTAGGGAGCGAGAATAGGTAGATTTTTGATAGGATAATAATTTGCCGTCCGGCTTAAAAAATACAATCAATTTCCGGATTTATCGTAGATGGCAAACAGTCAGTATTTTATTTATAAGTTTATTTTAATAATTTTTGTTATGATTTAAAATTTTATCAATAATGTTTACTACGTTAGCAATTATTTTGTTGTCATTTAATTTAGGTTTTTGTATTTGATTTTGTTGCTAGATACTCTATGATTTGTTTTTTTTTATTATTAATTCTCATAAACAATAAACCATGCGTCAAATTACCCAAACACTGTTTCCATATTCTGTGGAAATAGGAAAGATATTTGCTCAATTGCTAGTCTATTGCTAATTGCGGAAATTTGAAGCTCAAAAACTTTACGATTGCACAATGAAAACTAGAATACGTTTTAATCATTGTTTGTAACTGTATGAAGGCACTTGTACGTTGTGCTAACGCTACACGCTTTTGAAAAATATTAGAAGAAATCATGGAGACATACCTACTATAAAATTATTCTTATTTAAAATTGTCATTTCATGTTATTTTTATGGTAACATCATGTTAGCATGACGTTCACTCGATGAAAGAAGAATTAATCTAGCCCATCCAAAGTGATGGGTTGTGGACCTGTTTTAGGTTTGGATAATCAATCTATAGATTGTAACCGAATTCTGCACTTTACGTCTTTTGGGTTGTATAATGAAATTATTTTTTACTAAACTCTATCATGTTTAAAATATAAGCTGTAATCAGTCATTATAACTATCTTGGAACAAAACAACTTGTATCCGTAGATCATGAAATATATAAAAAAAATAACTGCCTTGTATCTTGTACCTGTGTTACATAAACAGTTTTCGTTGGCAAAAAGATCAATCGATCAATATTTATGTAATTAAAATGACTTGGGGACACATGGGGATATGGGAAAGTGCAGTTGTGGTTGGCATAAGGATTTACGAGCTCATTGTGATAAGCGATCGTCGATAAACACGATCGAATCGTTTGCTTTAGCTTTATAAAACCGATAATTACGATTACTTGCAATTTCGTAATGACATATTTTATCTGTGGTATAATAGTCAAATGGTACACGGAACTAAAATACTTATAAATAGATCACAAAATAATTATCCTGTATGACAAAAACACGAATGGTTTTTATTCAGCAATGCTTAAAATCTTAAAGAGATCTTTTGTAAGTGGAATTGAGTAAATGTTTTTTTATGTATATATTTTTATGTAGAGTTAAGTTTTTAATATAATTTCGCTTGAATACTAATTAGATAATGTATTAAAAGTAACAAGGTTTTGGCTACATTTACTAAAGATTGAGTTTTTTTTAATAGAAAAAATCTTACCTCCCCAACAAGAGTGGCCGTAGCTTAGGCAGGACCCTGAAAAAAAAAGATAATCCTCACATTCTTTGTATAATGTATTTTAAGTTGTCTTTTTAGCTCTTGCTCGCCTTCGTAATTAGAATTGTATATCTCATTTTTAAAGTGTATATTTTTTTTTGGAAATAATATTTTTCTTAAAAGCTAAAGGATAATATGAGTGGGTATTTACCCTTTAGGGTGACTGAAAAACACACAAACTTACAGCCTTTAGGCACATGTTAACAGATTATATTAGACACTTATTAAATTAACTTGTTGATTTATTTCAAAAAAATCTTTGACTGACGTGGGCAGTCCATTTTGAGGCTTATTCACGGAAGTTTTTTTTTTTAATTTTTTTAAAATTAAAATTTACAAGCGTTGATCATTTGGAAATCCACACATTGCAGTCGCCATGGCTTCTCGTCCTTGAACAAGACCTTTTGATATTTCCACCACTCCTTTAATTACTGAACATTTAAGACAATGAAACTAAAATGTATATATTTTTTAAAGATATTTCTAAACAGAGCCATAGAATATCCCTGAAAAGTAGCACCTCGTGCTTTGCTTGGCTAAACGCAAGTCCTTTTTGACCTAGGATCTAAAATCTACATCATCGATAAAATTGAATTATAAAGTTAAATGTCTTACTTTTTCAGTGACTTGTAAATCTTTCTAATTAACAAGTGTACTGACTTACCGAAGACACTAATAATAACTGTTATTAGCTATACATTGCAAGCACTAGACCAGCGAGTAATTATTTATTTATTTATGAACACTATATTCCAAATAAGACAAGAAAAAAAAGTCGAAAGTAAAAAGTCGTAAAATTATTATGAATGAATTATTATTATTTATTTTGTACCGTCTATATCTCCAACAAGCGATCTATCTATCTATCTATTCAGACTAGAATGAAAAAAAATCCTTATGAAAAACGACATTTGCAAGGCGAGCGCAACAAAATGTTACAGTAGTGAAAATAATAAAATAATTAACTAGGAAAATAAACGTTGACTAATAACTTAAATTATCTACACTTAATATTACTGTCATATTTAGTAAGTTGTTGCCTAAGCATTGCGTTAAGCGCGATTTCAACTGTCCGGGGACAATAGATTGTTACGGTCGCGCAGGGCATAGAAATTTAATCAACTACTTAAAAAACGATGAATGAAGCGGACACATAAATATATTCGCCCCATGTCCCGCGGAATGAAGCTGAACTTCACTTTTTATAGTAATAATAGTCTTATTAGTAATTTGATTTTGATATTTCTACTCCTTACTTACTATCCGAATTTCAGAAAAATAAATAAATTAAAAACATGTTTGACCCGGTGGGGCTCAAACCCACGACCCGTTGATTATCGCTTCCATTAGAACTACGAGCGCGTCACAATATTGTCATTTATGCTCTCCGTGCATCACAGATAAGCACAAAGTAATAGGGCGATGCATATTGTGGCACTACGATCATATTAGCCATAAACGCATCGAGTACATTAGGGGAGTGCCTTCTATCTTATCTAAGGGTACTACCCCTGTTACACCGTAAACCTAGCGGCGGTGACGTCATGGCTTTCAAAGCTACCTGGTTAGTACAAAGCGTGCATATGAGCGCAATTTGTATTTTGGTAAGCTTTTGCCAGAAATGTTGAACAGGTACGAATCGAGGTTGTTTTTTCTTTTTGGTAGTTTATCATGTTTAAAGTGCTCGGGCGGCGACAAATATCCCAAAAAAACAACATTAAATTTCTAAGTATATATTACTTGACATCAAATTTTATCTACTCCTTTTTGTGCACACAAAGGCGAAAATAAATTAAATTTCAATCAATTTTAAATATAAAAAAATATGATTTTAAAATTTATAAAATATAATATGTTTTTAAACACACTCTCTGTAGATTACGCGAGTAGTACACATTTAAATAAAACACTCTGACGGTTTAAGACGTGGTCTCCCCGTGACTACTCGTGACGACCCCGTGTCATGTAATAAGTTTAACTAATACATCACAATTTAAACTTTTGAATTGACTGTGACGAATATGAATAGTTATAAGTAAATAATATATTGAAATGAGAATTGACAACTGCAAGTAAATTATATCACCAAGCGGTTTCATTGAGCGATAAAAGAATACATTCATTACTTCACAAAAGGTTTCTCCATAATTTTATACGAATGCAGATAAAGGCGTCATTTTATTCACAGTGCAATTCTTTAGACATTTATTCATATCCTCACATGCGTTTAGTCGCCGCTGCTTCTCGACAACGTTAGATTGAAATGTATGTTACGTGTTTATATATTTCAATAAAACACTTTCACAGGTTTAAAACGCGAAATATAGTTTGGTTCGCGTTTCAAACCGTAAAAAGTGTTTTATTTTAATGTGTACTACTCGCCTTAACTACAGACAATACTTTAATATACTCATATATAAAGCTGAAGAGTTTGTTTGTTTGAACGCGCTAATCAGGAACACTGGTTTGAATTGAATAATTATATTTGTGTTGTTAGAGCATTTATCACGGAAGGCTAGTCTATAAAACTTCTTATATTGCGACGTATAGGAGCGAAAAGTCAGCAGGAAATAAGAAACGACGAAAAAAATAACTACGTAATAATTAAGCTGCGAAAAGGGTTTAAGATACCCTAAAAATATGTATAAAAGAATGAGAATGATTCTTCTTTAAACGATCTAAAAATATTTTCGCGAAACTATATGTCTATCATCTTTAGGATAAATTTGAAAGGGGGTAGGGGGTTACTTCAGCTTTAACTTGAGATTAAGAGGAGGTTTGCAAAAACAAATTTGTACGCTCAAAATAACTACACGAACAAGTCCTGACCACTGTTTCAAATTTTATTTTATTTATTATTATTTATACATTATAAAAATATTCTAACATTACAGAACAATGTCCATTGCGATAGAATTATTTAATACATATTTCATGGAGTGATGTTTTTGTCAATTCACCCAACTAACGTAAAAATGTCGTCCCCTCCTCCTTGTTGATAACACCATAGCACGAACAAGAGGGGGATTTCATCAAAGTTGGTCGTAGTACGTCGCAAGTACGGTGGTCGTATCGCCTCACGTATGGTCCGGACCAAGTTAAGGACTGTAGAACTCCTGGGTTCAACCCCCCCGCAATACTACTGATTATACAAGGAATAAGTCCCTCCGTACCTTCAATTCATTGTATCCGACCTGCCTAATACAAAAAGAGTCGGATACATTAAAGGATAATATGGATATACTCCATACATTCTTTGGTACAAATGCCTAACAAATTTGTTTTGAATGCGTTCCAACATGAGTTTGTATTTTTCTTCGGCCGGGGCCCAAATAGAGGAGTTAAAATCTAAATGGCTACGCACCATGCGTCTTATACCCGCACCGCAGCCATATTCGTAAAGTCCTTGGTTTGTCGTAAGACAAAACCAAGGTTTCTATATGCTTTTTGGCAATTTATAATATGTTCACGAACTCGTCGTTCTGACCTAGTCCCGGATCGAGTCTCTCTTGTTGCGGGTTGTCCCTATGGTATAATCGATTAACAGATTTACAGGGCGTTAAACTCGCGCTTTATCCAAGTTAAATTCTAGTTATGTTGAGATTTCTGGATATCGCTTTGTAAGCATCTGCATCGTTCACGTCTTAACTTGTAAAAAAACCTTCAAATCGTCCGCGTACAGAAAACTTCTATGCCGACTGATGGTAAATTATCGTAGCAACGAAGGCCAAGGTCGAACTTGACTTATTCCAGACCTCGAAAATATGGCTGCGATGTGCCCCCTAGTCACATTTGTGCCGATCACTCATTAGAAGCCCAGAACCGAAGAAGTCCAGGAGTCTCCTACCTGTGCCTTTTTGTAATACTGTCATTTTCCAAAATGTCGAAAGCCTTCCTAAAGTCGAGGGTCGACCCGTCGGAAATAATACGAGTTGAGCAAATTCGTGGACTCCCACGCCCCGAACAAAATCTACAGATAATTGAGGCGAAACTTGCTCAACAACACGGTGCCCTCAAAAACCTTCGCCGCTGTAGACAACACACCACGGCCTTACTTGTTTACGTCGGAACTCTGTACCTTTCGGAACAGGTGTAACCTGTTATTTTCCATGCTCGGGACACCTGTCCGAAAAAGAGTTAAAAATGCATGGAGAGGCTCGGCCAGGACTCTGGCGCAATCCTTGAAAAGAAAGCTGGATGCCATCCGGGCCACCGCTTAGGCTTTAGTCGAGACAAGGCTTTTCTGACCTCGCTAAATTAAAGGGAGTCCAGCTGTACCCGTGCACTGCTGTCCCCGTATTACCTCCGCGTCAACATCAACAGAGGCTCTGAGTGGCTAAACGCTTTTAAAGTAACGCGCAAACCTTCACGACTAACACCGGTCAGTTGTTTTCCATCGCTATCGGTTATAGTAAGCCCATTCCAGAACCCCGTCTTTCTTTTTATATATTTCCAAAAAATAGTAGGATTCTTGAAAAATTGACTTTGAATTTTATTAATATGACCCTCATATGCAGTCCTAATGTAATTTTTTACTATTTTCCGACATGAGGAAAAATCAATATAGCACTAATTAGTGGTTTATTTTTTTGAAACTACTTTTAACCTAATTTTATCAATTATTTCCTTGTAACCATTCGGATACTTTGATAGGATAAATTTTGTTTGACCCGTTTTTAGGCATCTCTTAATTTATAAACTAAAAATACCTAATTGTCCGTATTTTCCATATTGCAAATTTCGCCCCAATCCACCGCCCAACCTCGTATAACCGCGAAGCCGCTTTGAAAACCACGCGCCCAGACCAACGCACGCCTTAGGTTCAGTGGTGTGCAACTATGACAAATGGCTTCCGCTCGACGCCACAAGCACCGCCCAGCGGGGGTGGTACCATCCACCGGCACTAGCGTCTCTCTCCGCCGACTGTACACCGACTCCGCCCCGACTCGAACCCCGCATCAAATGTTTAAAGAAGACAC